TTTTCAATTAGTTGTTAATGTACCATGCATAAATACTATATCCATGTTGGATGGTCTATATATCATATAATATCAATGTTATCACGGATGGCGAAGGCGTACAGCACATTCCGGCAGATCAGCAATCTGACCGGCGACAAGGGCGACGAGAGACGTAGCAACAGCGGCGGAGATAGCGAGACGCATTGTGAGAGATAGTAGAAGAGAGTGAGCGGAAGGATTTGACGATGATATCAAGAACTAGATAGACAATAGAGCGAGCGTAGGGGGGAGTTGAGGCCAGGTGCAGGAAGTTATCGTCGTCATGCAGGGTAAAGGGAGGTTGAAGACGCGTGAGGAGGGAATCCAGGCAGATTAAGTATTTCCTAGAAGTTGCATTCAATTAGGTTAAGGCCAAGCTACCTCGCACCGCAGCGACCAGCAGCCGGACCCAGGGGGATCTAGCATCTAGCGTTGACTAGATGAGAGTTAGCCAATCGAAGTGAAGGCGGAAGGTTAGGGAGAAGTCTAACGTCGATAAACTCCGACCTGAGGCGGCGCCAGCAGTAGATTAGCAGACAGACTATAACTATCTGAGGATGGGTTGAAAAATACACTCTGACGATGACAAGCAAAGAACTGCAAGGTCTGGGCAATGAATGCCCTGCATATTCAACTGCAGCGTAAAGTCTTCAAACACGGCATGTCAAATGTGGCTATTCTGGTGTCACCGTGGTGACCTGGCAAGCCAAGGTCTCGAATCTCAAAGGCATTCATTAATTCATTCATTCATTCATTCATTCCTCCACTGCAGATCAGATTGGTGGCTGAATGTTGACGCACGCTCTATCGATGCATCACTGGATTCAATACCAGCCCCCGCCCTGGCGCCCGGAGCTCCAGGGGGTTGCTCCCTAACTGGCCTGCCCAGCTTTAGGCGTCAAGCCCCAAAACTTAGGTTACACCAGCCTGTTCCTCATCCTACCGTATCGTATTGTACTGTACATTACATGGCTGTCCTTCACCTCGGAGCCTCCATCGATCCTCCATTGATCTTCCATTCCTCAATTCTTCGCGCTTCACCTGCAGGATCCGCTGTGCGTCCACCGCCCCCAATGAAGCTGTTGGCCCGCAGTGTCAGTGATCATCATCTTCTCTTTGTCTGCGCCAATTGGCAATGTAAATGTGAATCTCTATATATGGTTGCCTCTGCTGCGTGCGTCATCCCCTGTTTTCCCTGTGTTGACTTTCCCTCCTCCTCCTCCTCCCTTCTCCATATCTGCATCTACGTCTCTTCTAACTCTAGCGGCTGCGTCCATCTAGCTTTCAATCAGTTAATCAGAGGAACCATCAAGTGGGACGGCTAGGTTCCCAGTTATCTGGTTCCTGGATACTGAATTGCAAAGCACAATCCACTACTTAGCCACTACCGCAACCATGGGTCTCGGGATTCTCGAGGACTCCCGCCTCGACCACGTTCCTGGTACGTTCGCTCGATGCTCTCTGTCTCTGCCCAGATCCCATATCTAATTCCGACTGTGCAGGCACCACCTTCATCCTCGAGGACGACTCTAGCACCGTCGAACAACTCGCCCCCTCCCTGCACCTCAAATATGACCACTCCGGGCCCACACCGGTCATCCTCGTCCCGCAGCCAAGCAATGACCCCAACGATCCTTTGGTAATCCCCCAATTCTCTCTCCCTCTATATATATACATCCATTGCACTGTCAATCATCTATGTATAGATATATATGTATATACATGTTTACTAATTTCTATCCAGAACTGGCCCCTGTGGAAGCGCGACGCAATCCTCGCCATCCTCTCCTTCGTCAGTCTCCTCTGCGCGACAACAAGCCCTCTCCTTGCCGCAAACACCGCAACCCTAGCCTTCCACTACGAAGTCTCTTTCACAGACGCTGCCCTGCCCATTCGGCTACCACCTCTGCGGCGTCGGGGTGGCCGGCCTGCTCTTCGTCCCCTCCGCCCGCGTCTGGGGCAAACGCCATCTATATATCCTCGGCTGTGTCGTGATGATCATCAGCTCCGCATGGGGCGGCGCAAGTTCAGGGAGTTACCGCAGCCTGCTGGCTGCAAGGGTTTTTCAGGGCGTGGGCCTGGCGCCGTTTGAAGCGTTGGTCAATGCAAGTGTCGGGGATTTGTTTTTTGTTCACGTATGTCATTCTGATACTTTTGTTTTGTTTTGTTTTTTCCCTTAAGATTTCCTCAATCCTAACAACAAAATAATCGTTTAGGAACGCGGGAAACGAATGGCATTGTCCAACGTCGCCCTCTTCGGTGGCAGCTTCTTAACCCCAGTCATCGTCGGCAAGCTCACCGCCTCTATGGGCTGGGAATGGACATTTAACTTCCTCGCCATCTTCTCCGGTGTTTGTCTACCATTGGTCATATTCTGCGTCCCTGAAACCGCTTTCAGGAGGGCGGCTCATCTCAACACGGATATCGAAGGGGAATATGGCTGTGGAGATGGCTTTCGTAATCCTGCTAATACCACTACAACCCAGCCTCTCGAATCGGAGACGGAGAACAAGAGCTCATCATCGCAAAAATCTCGTGAGGAGGAGGCAAAGAAGGAAGCGGCGGAAGTGGAAACGAAAGTAGAGGATCGCAACGACCATGGTGGTACCGAGGGAGCTACACACGATACACAGGATATCATCCCCCCCAAAGTGACATATTGGCAAACCCTGAAACTCTTCAACGGGCGCAAGACGGACGAGAGTTACTGGAAATTATTCCTCCGCCCACTGCCATTATTCCTACATCCGGGTATTTTATGGGTAAGAAGATCCCCTCACCCCAACCTATCCACGCACTGCTCTCAGACTGAACATCCCCAGGCCTGCCTAACCCAGGGCGTCCTAATCGGCTGGACCGTCTTCATTGGCGTCGTTCTCGCCGTAATATTTAGCGTCCCGCCGCTCTGGTTCAGCGAGGTCCAAGTCGGCTACCTGTACACGGGCGCCTTCATCGGGTCCATTGCCGGCCTCTTCCTCTCAGGCCTCTTGTCCGATTACACCGCAAAGCTCCTGATAAAGCTGAACAGAGGCATCTACGAGCCCGAGTTCCGGATTGTGCTGGTGCTGTTCCAGCTGATTTTTAGCGCCATGGGGCTGTATGGGTTTGGGATTACGACGGAGAACGTGGGCCGGTTTGGATACGTGGTACCCGATGTGTTTTTTGGGTTTGTCATTGTTGGCATGGTTATGGGCGCGGTGGCGAGTGCGTTGTATGTTGTTGATGCGCATCGTATGTATTCTTTTATTCTTTTCATACGTCAATAACAACATTCATTGCCCCCTTCCTTCCCCAACGGCATGTTGACATATACGCACCTCCAGGCCAAATCGCCGTCGAAGCCTTCACCTGCCTCCTCGTCTTCAAGAACATGTTCAGCTTCCTCCTGACATACTTCGCCTACGATTGGCTCGTGCTCTCCAAGCCGAAACATGTCTTCACAACCATCGCCAGTATTCAGGTCGGCGTGTGTCTGCTGAGTATACCCATGTGTGAGTCCGCTTCGTCTCCCCCACCCTTGCTTCACAACACATTCCAAACGTCCCCGGGCGTTTTACTTTGCGAAACTGTCTTTGGCGAGATTATTATGACTGGGCGGGAAAGCAACCCATGGATGGCTAACCGACAAAAATTGATGTGTATAAAAAAATACAGACATTTTCGGCAAACGTAACCGCTCGTATTTCCACCGCAATGATATCCTCAAGAAATTGAATCTATGGTGAAACTACAAAAATGCAAAAAAAATGCAATATTTGAACAGCAGCGGATAACAATAACATGTCACGTCCATACACCTATGACCCCTACTCAAACCGACCCGACCCGACCCCGACCCTTCCCTTGATCTTTAAATTTTCACTTTGAAAATTTATTCCATCGAACCATATCGAACCCATATCGAACTCATATCATATCATATACATTCATGCCTAGCCCAACCCTTCAAAACCGTTCTTTCACAGACTTCTTTTTTTTTTCTCCTTTTTCTCTCTCTCTTTCTTTTCGGACTTTTATCTCTAAAACCGAGTGGAAAAGGTGTTCTTGAATTTGTACAGTACGTTAGCGATGTTATATTGTATTACGCACATATATATATAGATATATTTAGTAATTATTGATGTTATTGCTGATAATTTGATTGATGGGTTTTTTTCTTTTCGTTTTTTTTTATTTCTTCCCCCGCCCTTTCACACAATACACCCAGCTTTGATCGCTTTATTTTCTAATTATTTCACGAACGTGCATTGCTTACCATGTTCTCCTTCTCATTATCCATTCCTGGGAGTGCTCGCTCTGCTTGCGTCAGGTAATCACATATTTGCTTCATGTAATAACTGTGTATCACTTGTAGCAAACCAACCCTACAGCCAGCCAGCCAAACAGGCAATAAATAACCGTTTCAATTTAACAAACTAACTATACACACTTACGAGTAGGAAGGCCGTGAATAAAAACAATCCCCATTTTGAAATCTTCAACCTTTATATATATGGATAATATCTAACGTGAGCAGGCCTTCGCTCGCAGATAGATAGGGTTTATATAAAAAAAGCAATAAGAGCTGGGAACAGCCATTTTCATCAGTGGAGAGACACAGGCAGAAGATAGGCAGGTTTCTAGAGATTTGATGGAGAGATCATCAGCTAATCTGTATCTAGCGAGCTGGCGGTCAGGGGCAGGTTGAACTTGGTTCTCTCTCTCTCTCTCTCTCTCTTAAACGGTAAACTTTCATTTCCCTCTCTCGCGTATATTCCATTTTTCTGATGTTTTGAAGAAGGTTGTGGAGTCAGGGAGAATCTGCAAATGCCCACGCTTTGACACATTCCAAGCGGTGTTCTGATCAGCATCTTGTTTCGAATCCTTGTAGCAATTCATCTAATAAGGGCATGCACGTTATTGTTCCCCCGCACGGCGGTCAGGGTCGGCCACCCCTAGTGGTATTTAAGCAAGAGTTCGACTATCGCTTGATGTCCCATTCGCAGAGCTTCAAATATACATGTCCTCAACGTGGCCGTCCATCTAGGAGGGGGGAAATGAAATTTAAAAAAAAAAAAAAAAAAAAAAAAAAAAAAAAAAAAAGGTGCATCATGGTGCCCAATTCAAAGAAGATGACAATTAATTATGCATTAGACGCATCAAAAATCATGCATTCGACTTCATCATCGTATATACCGCCGCAGTTGATTTTCTGCCATCCCGTTTCGTCAGAATAATGTAACAATGGTAACTGGACAAACAATATTCGCTGCCTATGCGCATATGGGGCCAGACTGTCAAGAGACTTACAAGTTCATTCCGCCGAAAGATTCCCTTCATCCGCTCGAAGAAATCTCGCAATGTATATATCTCCATCAAGCAACAGCCCTCCTCCTCAGGCCAATCCTTCGAGCGATAAAGTTAGAACTTAATTACGAAAAGGCATATATATAACGCTCCTTCTTAAGGCCATCGCATCCATCACAAGGAGGGGGTAGACATACCTCTCGATGATTCGGTACCTCACCTAGGCTCACAGGGCTGAGTCCATAGTTGAGATCAAGCAGTATCATCGTGTTGTTTTCCACATCAAAGTATATCCAACACCCGTACTCTGCGGCCGGCATTGCATATACCATGACAGAAGGCGCGAGATTTATACCGAAACTCTCCTGAAGATTGTGGATATCCTCTCCGTTAACTCCAGCGACTGTCCTGTAATCAACGGCAGTTGTCAACCAGTAAATTTCGAAACCCCCGATATTTCTATATTTCACAAATGGCAGATGGCGGATAAGGTCGTTCACAGCCGGTGTTCTGCCCAGTCTTGAGAGAGAATCTTCGGGCAGTTCAGGCCACCCGTCCGCGGGCGGGCGCAGGATAGCCGAAGCGGGGAGGAGGCCTCTGTCCACCAGGAAGTCATAGTACTCCGTTATGACAGCGATAGTCTCGTCCCGAGAATAACCCGACGGCTCTGGATTTCTATTCACAATCAACCTTGCTTCCTCATGGCGAGGGTTGCGTGGAAGCTCCTGCGAAGCCTGGCTGCTTGAGGCTATCGCTGGCGTACTGGGCTGTCTCATGGCGGGTTCCGCGGTGTCATTGTTATATAGTAAAAATCTATGATGATAATGGAGATAGATGACCCGAGGGTTTATTTTATATACATCCTCAGTTAGCAGTCTAGGGAACCGTAAACGGAAATACCTCTCTAAAACTAGAGGCCAACTGGAGTAGAAACAGGGGCAGTTCTGGACTAGCATGCAAATCCCAAAACAACAACTATTACAAGGAAAACATAGTCCTTTGGGAATCATCCAAATATCGTTAAAATATATGTTGGAATAAAGAATGTCTATTTTGTAGGGGCATCATATCATTGTCATGTTTCAAAGGGCTCCGCATCCCTTGAAAAAATGGCAAGCCAAATGAGTGCCACCGATAAAAGGAACAGGATGGTGCTCCCAAGGCAAGCTCAATGGTATTGGAATCTGCCTTCTCCTCTGCAGCATGGGGTTATATCAGACCGTCACTCTAGTGTGCAAGAATTGGAGCGTCATATACCGTCAAGCTGGTAGAATAACACGAACGAGTGTTGCAATGTCTTGACTTCGGTTGACGAGAGCTGGGAGTTTCCAATCGTCGGACGTCTCAAGAGATTTCTTCGTTTCGGTCGCTGGATGCATGTATTTTCATCATCGACGAAGAATGTCAGCTCAAGCCCAATTTTTTTCCCAGGTTATTTGTGACGGAAGATAGGACAACAGCGACCATGAAGCTCCAAATATGCCCACTCAAGGAGACAGTCAGATATGTATGCCGCTTCTCACAACGCCTGTACGAGAGTGACGATCCATATCTCAACAGCCACAGAGCGACAGCCGCGAGGCAGACCACCGGCTGAGTGAGGATACTAGTGGATTTGGATATGTGAAGATGTCGAGCGCTGCGGATGCCTCGTGTTCGAATAATCCTCTCGCTAAATTTTCCACCAATCCCTATCTCGGTCCGGTTACAGGCTCTGCGCGAAGAGCAAATGGGAAATTTATACGATCCCATCGCGGCCCGAAAACCTTCACAGGAGATCGATGTAGGTCAAGTTTCTCTTGCATATCACTGACGTGGAGATGTCGACATTAGCGCCCTTGGTCCCAGAATATTCTCCGATTGACAAAAGAGTGAGATGCGCATCAAACTACCACACTAGTACGTCTAGTACGTTCCATCACTCCGCATTAGTCTCGCACAGGATGCACCTTGGGATGCCGGGCCAATGGGTATGCGGGGCTGGCGAGGCCCTAGAGGATTAGCTGACCGTCAACCACGCGAGCTGGGATGGGCGAGGGTGGCGGATGAGAAAAGTAATCTGCTTCAACGGTGGTTTCTGCTCCTCTCGAGAATGAGTTCTAAATGCGTTTTCCTCTCTGTTTCTTCCCGTCATGAAAAACAGGGAATATTTACTGATCTTTTTTTATCAATCGAGGACAGCTCTCCGCTAGCCCACGCTCGCGATTCTTTATATGCATTGCAATCAGTGAAAATCGCAAACAATATACGTTTTTTACCAGAAATCTCAATATCCCTACGTAAATGTAACGCCCCATTCATTCATGGAAACTAGCTACTACTTCAACAAACAAGCTCCAAGCGTAGTTTGAAATGTGATCGAGTGGTAGTAGAGTCACCAGGAAAGAGTGCAAACTCTCGAAGAAAACATCTACAAGAACCATCCATCTACTCCTAACTTTTATCAATTCTTCTTCTGTATTACAACTAATTATAGTACAAGGGGTGAATACTAGTAAAAGCAAATACACAGATCTATCTAGAATGGTCGAGATCTACACGGGAGCAGAAATGGAGCCTCGATCTGAGCTGGCAATTTGGAAACCTTGTACGAACTGGGCGAGCCATTATTGCCCTCTCGCACACAAACGTGCACCAGACTGGGCAGGCGGGCTTCTTTGTTCATTCCAATTTGTAGAAGCCAGTTGAGATATTCGGGCTTGTAAGTAGCAGGAGGGGTGACGGGCGAAGAGCCATCAGCGGCAGATCTAGCCGTAGTTTCAAAGGCCCGACAGGTATGCTGGAAGAGAAGCTATATACGCAGCGTATGACAAACAGCACGGATGTAATATTAGTATCTAGAATTTAAGGAGGGAAATATATCATTTGGCTGCTCAACGGGGCCGTACGGGGTAGGAAAAGGGCCAGTGAGTGAAATACACGCAGAAAGACAAGACGGGAAGATAGATGTAAAATGGCTAATCCTGACCTCCAAATATTCTAAAGATGTAGGCAGCCCATTGATGAATGTCGTTCCGTAATGCTGGATCGCCTCTCTCATCGTCAGTGAAAAGAAACAACACATCTATCTTCAGAGTCCGTAAACACTTTAGGGAGCGGAAGACAATGGGACAACATTCAAAATATCCCCTACATTCGCCGTATTCGCAATCGAGTTCGAGTGTAGTAATTGTCTCTTGGCAGAGGTTAAGATCATTCGATAACAGCATCTGCTCTAAGCGGGTATTGCTGCGGCACTGTATACTAAGGGCCAAAGTTGCCAAGTTCGGGCAACACGAGAGAAGTCTAGGGAGTAGGGAGCTGTTCTCAGGGGGAACGCGGATTGCCAGCCTTTTGAGCGATGTCTGGCGCTCCATGTTAGGGGGAAGTCTCACTGCTGGAGAACAGCGGCGACCCATCAGGGGTAAACAACCGCTCGCAACCTTTAGCGACTCCATGGCCGGGAGCTGCATGTAGCAGGCAGCGACAGCAAGATTGACAAAGTCGCCGTTTATATCCGCGCAGCGCAGCCTAGCGAGGACGTTTCTCTGAAGGACCAGATGGAGTCTATCTTCGGTGGCTGTTGACAGGACTAACTTCTCCAGGCTGTAAAGCTTAGCGAGAACCTCCCAAATATAATCCACGGCACCCTCATCTTCGACGCGGGTCTTAATCGCAATGCTCCGTGTCAGTCTAGCTAGACGTGAGTTTCTCGTGATAGTTCTGTTAAATTGCGCCAGGCGCTTGAGACATGCATGTTTCGATTCCCCGGACGGGTGGGCAGATATGAACTGAACGTCACGGTATAGATATTGAGGCACGATTCCGGCCAGATGCCTGTTTACTCGTGCAAGGTTGACTAGATCATGAGGTTGGATATTGTTCTGCGAAATAATTAGATGGACAAGCTCGATGGGTAGCCCGTTCCAACCCATGTGGGCGAAAGGCGACCCCCTTTTCTTTTCAACTGCTTGTCTACTGTGTCAGGGATCCGTGGGCAAGATTCGGTAGTAGAGAACAATTGAACCCACTTGCGTCGCTCAAAGAATGGCTTCACCTGCCTCCCGGGAATAATTAAGCGAATGAATGTTACTGAAATATTGAGAAAGAAACAGGATTGCTCGATCAGAGCGACTATCAATCCCCTAAAGAATGGAATATTCATTATATTGCAGCCGATGTTCCCTAAACAATAGAGAGCAAGTGTTCGGCGCCGGCTATAGAAAAAATAAGCGGAGAATAAGAAAGTAAATAAAAAGGTGTTATGTACAGTAATATATAAGGCGGAAAGAGAGGGGGAGGTGCGCGGTATAAGGGGGAAGGACGCCTGCATACTCACCACCATTCGAGCATAAACACAACGCAGAAAGGAAAGACAAATGGACAAGAAGATACAGTGACAACTCGAGTGTATATTGAAAATCCAATCAAATATTTACCTACAATAAAAAATCCGTAAAATTCCCTATGAAGAGGTCCTCTTCGTGTCAATTTCCCACTCCTCAACTCTGACATTCCCCTTATGCCGCTGCTCTACAGGCTCCGGTTGCACAACATTTGTCAAAGTTACCGAGAGCACGGCGGGAATAGCAATAATTAGTGCCCCGATGCACAACCCCCAATTCATCGCCAGCTGTGACATGGAAGGAGTTTTTAGTGCGTTTACTCTCCATGCCATCGCGCCACCAGTGGCCTGGAAGGACTTGTATGCCCCGACCAAGATAGCCGTCACAGCAGCAGAGTTGGACATACTGCCAATAAGCCAGTAGCAATACCCCTGCCAGAGTGCATCGTACAGACCATAGAAGATATAGAGAAAAGATCG